AGCTTAGCTTGAAGAGTGATATGGAGCTTTCTGACTTTAAGGAAGTAAACACGAGGAGGCTGGCAGGAGAAACTCCAGGTGAAGTCAAGAGTGAACAATTTAGCTGTTTGCATTCATGAGTTTCGTGCAAGTGTGGACATGCAACATATTTTATTAAACCAGTCGAGACGAGTAAACCTGTGACTTTAAATCGTTTTTGACTGTTCATTTACATGAAATGAAAAGGCCAACAAATAAAAAATAAAAAGGGAGGCCAGAGTCTGACACTTTCTATAAGTTTCCCTGTTGTGAGTTTCCCCCCCCACCAGTCTTCTGTAGTTATTTTTAGCTTCATGGTCACATTACCTTAAACATGTTTAAATAAAGAACACAAACATGAAATGAAAGAGCAAAGTTAAATGTTACTTTATTCACACTCACATTAATTTTAGTTTTAAAAAACATAGAGAATTATTTAAAATTAGTTGATTAGTATATAACTTAAAAAAAAACAAAAAACATGCTTAATCAGCATAACTTTAAATCATTACACTTTAAACCACATTAGATAAAGACTACATTCACTGTCCCAACACTTTTTTAATCCTGCTGAACAGGTTCTCTGATCCAGCATCACGGCTGTCCTCCCTGGTCCCCAGCCCCAAGCGGTAGATCCCGATCCCGTTCGCTGAGGCTCGACTCACTCTAGGATCGGGACTTGCTGACCCAGTGGTACTTGTCGACGCGTGGCCCGGTGAAGGTGAACGTGGCTCGATAGGACTTGAAGCCTTTCTGGTTGGAGAACTGGGAGGTGGGAACTGAGGCCGGGGGCGAGTGAGGAGGGTGAAGGGGGAGAGGAGGGTGAGGAGGGTGAGGAGGATGAAGGGGCGGGGGAGGGTGAGGGGGGTAAGCATCCCCGCCAAAGGCCTTCCTCTTCTCCCTGAGCCACTGCTGAGGAGCTCCTGGAGAGAACTCGCTGAACTGAGGACGAGAAGGGCAGAGGGTTATGAAACGCCACGGGAAAGACCGGCAGCAGCTGTGTTCAAAATAGAAACCTGTAACTGCCACCCTGCGTCTTCTTTCAGGCTGGAAATAACCAGCACAAAATGTCCCTCAGTTTAAGAGTTCAGGACCAAACTGTAAACTTTTAAAACACAAGTGTTGTGCGTTTTAGAACTTTCTGATGGGTGATAATTAGGATTACTCCGATACTCACAGTATCAGGCCAACACAGCGTGCACAAAGTCATACTTGTAAAATCTTGCAGAAGTAACTGCCGTGGGCTTGGTAGTGTGTGTGTGTGTGTGTGTGTGTGGGGGGGGGGGGGGGGGTGACCACCCACTTACAATTTACCTTTAAAATCCACAGGAACCAAGCCAACCAGCAACTCATGACCACAAAACAATTAATTCAGCAGAAAAAGTGCTGTTCCATTTTTTTCTGGGAGGGAAGGAAATACACATCCCACAATCCATTGCGATTCCAACAAGAATCCACAAACAATGGTTTAGCAGTAGCGCACACTTTAAACATACTCAGACCTTTGTTCGACATTAATCTTTATTTGTTAATATTTTGTAGTATGTGTTTATACCGTGTTCAACTTCAGGGTACAGAAGCCGACAGCTGAAGTTCTCTGGGAGGTGATAAAACATTTTCTGTTGTGACCCCAATATAAAAAAAAAAAAAAGGCAGAAAAAATCCCCAAAATACATTTTAGAAAGATTCAAAGTAAATGGATGCTTTTTGAACCCATCAATGACCCCTGAGGCGGATTTATCCTCCCGCTATATTGCATCACCTGACTTAATGTCAAAAAAATAACCCTAACTGGAGGACAGCGTCATGGCGTCGTTTTTTGTAGATTATTTGTTAGATCCCCGTTAGCTGTACCTGAGAGCTCAGCTAGCCTTCCTAGGGTCCACATTCAAAAACATTCAGATGAATATAAAACCCATCAAACCTACCCTGTACACGCTGTTGGGGTTGCTGACTGTCGGGATGGTTTTGGGCTCAGGATTTGTGGGCGGGGCCTGAGAGGAGCACAGAGTCGAGAGGCTGCTGCCGCTACTCATGCTGTTGTCTCCGCCCCCTTCCTCCTCGTCTGAAGAGCTTCCCGATTGGACGTCGAGGCTCGCCCGCTCCACGGCGTCATGAATGCGCCGGGAAAACTCGCCATCTCCCCGTCGACAACCGTTAACCACCGAGACGCAGAATGGAGTGCTGTGTTCACCGTACCTGCAACGAGGAAAAGGTCGATGGTTTTCAGAGCAGAACGTCTGTAAGTGACAGAAGAGCGAGCTGCAGTCCAGGTTTTAGTTTTACTGAGCATTTTCAAAAACAAATCAGCAGCTCTCGTCATGACCGCCTGGTCTCAACACACAAAGTGTAACCTCTGACCTGCAGGACACCTCTCCGGGGTCGACCCACACCGTCATCTCCAGGGGGAGGCCCAGATCCTCGTACCGCACCGCGCTCTGCCTGCAGGCCTGCTGAAGAACCAGATCCCTCAGCTGCTCCCGGTTCATACGCAGACACCTGGAGCACAAAGCAGCTACTGTCAACACTTTATACTCTGAGTAACTTACATCGTGCATATGGGAATCTATTTCATGCATCACTCCATGTGTTTTTAAACTCGTCCTGTTTTGTGTTGTGCTTGTTTATTCTAAGTTGTGCAGAGCTGCAGGCACAATAAAGTACATAAATCTGAAACCAGACTACATTTTGTCAACTGCAGCTCTCAGCTGATCTTTTTTTTGTACATTTTTAACTCATTTAAATTGTATTGTGTTCACTTTTTGTTTGCAATCTTTGCTGTAACACCGTAAATTTCCTAGTTGTGGGATAAATAAAGGATTATTTTATCTTGAATGACAGGAACTCTTCACTTTCCAAATGTTGCTGGTCCAATATGTGGAAAAGTTTTCAAAAGGACAGCTCAGGTGCCTTCTCTGGTATCACACCGGGTTTTTAAAGAGCTAATGTCTCAGCTAACAGACAGGCATTGTAACCGTTTTAAAATGTGACTTTTTTTAAATCATCAGTGTTAAAAAGTGTGTGTTTATGATTGTATTTATTTGAACTCTGTTATAAGTGTGTCTTGTTCTATATTTTTATTGTTTCGCTGCAGGGCATGCCTGGAAAAGAGAGCTTGGGTTCAGCGGGTTCTCTGTGACCTCTGGAGTGACCTCTGCTACTCAGGGAGATAATAAAATAAAAAGTCTTGTTTCAAGAAGAAAACTTCCCTATTCATGCAGCTTTTTGGACACTTCTGCGCCATCTTCAATTTAAGTTGCAAAATGAAGAAATGAAAGCTCACACTGACCTGTAGGCCTGTCCCTTGGTCGGTGCTTTCGGGTACCAGTGGTTCTTGTAGTTTTCAAACAGAACGGAGGTGAGGGCAGCGGCAAACCGGTCCCTGCTGTCATTATCCAGACAACCATACCTCTTCACCAGGCGAGCGACAAAGAACACGGCCGCAGCGATCTCTTCCTTCATGACTACACACACACACACACACACACACATATATACACACACACACACACACACACACACACACACACACACACACACACACCAGTTCACTCTCCAACTACTGGTAAAATCCTCTACAGGGAATAAAACATGTATAGGGTGATCCTATGAAAAACACAAATAAAAAGAGACTAAACCGGAGGCCGCAGACCGCTCAAGCAAACATATTTGCTTCTGGAGCTCCAGAGAGAACTCGGCTCTGACTTCTTCTGCTACGACACAAATAAATAAGAAAATATATATAAATCTAAACCAGTGCATGGAGCTGCAGCGTGTTCACTCGTACATCAGAAACTAAAACTGTCACTCCCTCTTTAGTGTGTCTCACATGGTTTAATCAGCTGTGTGACAAGACGACACACCTGAAGCTGGTTGACTTAACGACTCTGCCATGTGTGTGTGTGTGTGTGTGTGTGTGTGTGTGTGTGTGTGTGTGTGTGTGTGTGTGTGTGTGTGTGAAGGTGTGAGGCTGTTTCTGTGTGGGACAGGGTGTCACTACTGGAGAATCAAATCATTATTGACCTCCTCTCTTTATAACTCAAATGTGGAAATGTCCCCAATGTGAAGAAAGTAGAAAACAAAGAAAGAAAAGCAAAGTAGCTTAAAATTCACACCTTTCATATCCTCGCTCGCAACAACAGCACGCTTGGAAATGATTGATTATCATTGGATGTAATCTAACAGTTAGTTTCTACATAAATAAAACACGGCAGCATGAGAATGAAATGCTTTGTAAAGATGTTGAATCAACGGGAATGAACAAAAGTATCACAGTCAAATAAATAGACGAATCAAAGGTCAAAGCAGATTGACAGCCCCTTACGTCAAAGGGGAACTGAAAGACGTGTTAAAAGATGGACGCCCCTCGCAGTCCCGGTTCTACTGTAATGTTGACTAGTCACTTATGCTGCATTCAGGTGCTCCTCGGTTGTCCCAGTCTCTCCGAGTTGGGAAGTCGTTCTTCCGACTGCGGAAAGTTACAAAAATAAGCGCGGGCAAAGACGATGTGTGAATGTCTGTTATGAGTTATATTTGAGCAAAATGTTGATGTGCAATGAACTCATAAAAAGTATCTGAACATTTACAAAAAAATATTTTGCCCCCCATGTGATGATGAATATGACGTCTAGTCGGCAAGTCTGTCACCTCATTTTTTCCAGAGTTTCTGAGTTGTTTTTCCGACTTGCATTTTACAACTCAGAAAGTCATGTTCCCGATGTGTCTGACACCACATGAATGCAGCATAAGTACCATACTTCAAGACTTGTTACTGGGATACTCTATAAGTGATCTTTAGGACTGTTCTGGTGCATGAATGGGAGTTATGGTCACTTTACAGAGCAGCCTCTGTCGTCACTGTGTGAATGTGTAGGTGTGACCTGCGGTGTGAAAATGCTTTAAAAGCTCAAGTCCATTATCCTTTCCTATTGCCCCATTCTGCCCATGTCTAGAGCCGGGACCGGCAGCCTTGTGCCTACAATTGAATCACAGCAGCTAATATTCAAAACATCACTCCCTTGTGAGATATTGCCTAACTATATATCACTTATAGCTCCAACCCAACAAACTGATTGGTCAAAAGACTATTACGTACGCTTCAGCCAAGTGTTCAGAATACATAGAATGGAAGTCCCCATCAAACAGAACTTCTGAAACTGAAACGAGATGGAAACCAATCACAAGATAGAAGGCGGGACATACCGCAGGGATGAATTCGATTGGATTGTCAGCTTCAACAGAGCTTTTTAATCGGTAGAAAAATCAGTGAACGTCCCTGAATGCAGGATGAGTCATCAGACATTTGAAACGTTTTAAAGTTCTTATGATGTAAAAATAATCCATAGTAATGCTCTTTAAGAAATATATGTGCGAGGTAAATGAACATTTAACAAAGGAACGCTGGATTACACAAAAACATGTTTTTTTATAAAATTTTCTTGCCCTCTGTCCAATCAGATTTCTACAGTTTGCTGAATGTTGTAAGTAACTCACACACGACTCGATGTAGAGTTAATTAAAACTGGATAGCTTGAAATCCGTTTGACTTCATGGTCTGCCAACAAATCGTTGTGTCAACCCTTTAAATGAACTCTGAAAGAAGCCTAAGGCCCCCTTGTCCTCAAGTCCTGCAAGAAAAGCGTTGCACGTCCGTCCCCCTGATGACATCACAGTTGAATGCCTTTGAAGTAGCCTGAGCACAGAATGTTCATCTTACACCAAAGGACTCGAGCTGTATTTGTTTCTGCACTGAAGGCCGACAGCGAACACAAAGAAACACAGACAATAATGACGGAGACATCAGGACTCTTGTTGACCGCTTTTGTGCACGTCCCTAGAATGAAGGCTGTCATAGACATTAGCCGCTTCATAAAGAGACTGATCACCAAATATTGGTACCAGGTGCAATCTGGAAACCATGTCAAACACAGTCTGAATCTGCTGGTCGACTTGTGTCAGTGCATTGTCGATTTGACTTACAACAAAATCTTGGATGGTATTCAACCGGTCGTTTCCGACTGGCAAAGGAAAGCAAAGAGGATACACTCTCACATAGAACCGAGGTTGTGTTACTTCGGTGTGCGTGAGGAGGGTGTCCTGGATGAGTTGAAATACGTCCTTCCGTTGAGTTTCGCTCAAACTCTACACCTCTCGAGCATCATCTATTGTGAGAGTTTGGACAAATTCATCACGATGGCAGCACGAGAGGTGAAGAGGCGCATCGACTGTAACATAATGATGGTAATGGAGAATGAATATTATGAGCTACCCACGTGTTTAAGATGTAAGTGTATCTATTTTACAACTCTAAGCTCCATGATCGATCTAGTCTCTCAAGCCCTTCAGTGCCTTCGCCTGCAGAAGTGCCATTGCTATCTGAGGAGAACCCCAAAAAGCGAAAGCCCCCGACCAGATTTACAGTTAAAAGAAGACGAGAAAAAAACAAAATGTATTGTTATAGATCAAGGGTTGTGTAAGATAACTTATTCTACTCAGAACGATAGCGTCCTTGAAATACTGACAGAAATCAATGAATTTAATCGCCCAGTGGATGACGACATCGACTGGCCCTGGCTTAACGATTACTACCAATGGTTACTATCATATGCACGTAGTGAAGATTCGATGGAGGACATTGACGAGGTGATGCAGAGTTCAGATGACTCGGATTCCCCAAACCAACCAGTGAGATTGATCCGCGTGGCATCCATTGAAACTGTGGACGAGAGTCGCTCAAATACGGAAGCCACTTCTGAATGTCCCTATGAAGAAGTCGAGTATGATTCTGACAAATCTATTTCTGAGACGGCCACATATACAAAACACGACCCAGAAACTCAAAAGCTGTTTGCCTTGCTGCTAACGGGATTGTTATACAAAGCCACGGATAAGGCCAAGAGATCGCTGATCGTCCCCAAATTCAACAGGATTGTCGCAAATCTCAGAGCTGCAACTTTGGGAAAGATCGACTCCTCAGATGTTGTGATCAAGTCGGACTGTCGTACTGTCGAGAAGGTAAGCAAGGCTCTTTATGGAGACCTCCGTGAGCATTTCGACACTGCAAAGGAGCTCCTCCAAGCCTTGGAATCGGAGGATCCATCCATTGTGGATGTAGTTATCGAGGCCTTGAAGACTTGCATGACTGTGCCGAATCCAGCGCCAAAGGGGAACCCAGTGCTCAGGTTCTTTAAATCTTTGGGAAAAACCAGCAATGCCTTTCAGGGCATGCTTCTGTTGTTGAACAGAAAATTGGAATATCTGAAGGTTAGAAACTTTGTATGTTTCCCCCGTGTCTGTGTGGGTTTCCTCCCGCAATCTCAAAACATTCACAATGGATTCAACTTTGACCACGCCCTCATACATGCCTGTTCATATTCAAATTCTGTACAACACTTATTAAATATTTAATCAGCAGTAATATCAACTGCAGATATTAAAAATCGACCTTTGACCAATTAATGTTGTATGAAATGCACTTTTTGTTCTAATGTCCATTTTATCATTCTGTAAGATGTCAGCTTTTCTGTAAAATGTCTTAAGACAGTCCAGATTAGTTTTCCCAGTCGGATGAAGACAGACTACAGTACTCGTTCACTCGGTGATTGAGCTCGCTCAGTTTGTGGTTAACACCTTTAAATGGCGCTTTATCTTTGATTCATTGAATTTACAGAAACTGTATTTACAGTCTTAGAAGACTGTGGGCTAGGCACACTTTGGTGTATGGCACATTGAAATAAATAAACTAAAAATACATTCATACAGTAACTCTTATATCAAGGTACTTCTGATAAAACAGTAAATCATGTTTCACTACTTAAATGAACTTTTATTTCGTCACTAGTGCAAATGTTGAGTACAATTAGAAGTCAATGCCAATCAAGTCGACTAGTTGTACCTGGAAAGTACGACTACCGGTTCTTGACTTTATTAGCATTGACTTCTATTCAAACTTAATTATCTATAATTGCATTTTAATTTCTTAAAACTCAAACCAATTTATCTTTTTGTCACAATACATTATATGTTAACCCTAAAGTCAGAGGTGCTGCTCGTCTTTAAACCACAGCAGTGGCTCAAAACATGCAAATTTTGCATCAACAGTAGGAAACCTCCCTGAAGGGGCCCCCCATAAGACAGCACTCACTCTGGTTGACCTGCTGAGCATCTCATGCATTATTACTGTGAAAACCAAAGTTCCTCAATGAAAGTCACTGAAGGAAAGTGAAGAGGAGTTATCTGTCTGGGAGGGAAAAAATAAAGAGGAAGAGCGTCGGGACACTGGCAGACAAAATGGTGGTTGGAGGGGCCCCAAAAGACTCTGGAGTCACCACTGAGTAAGGTCATCTGTGAAAAAAAATAATCAGTAGATCAAGGTAAAGAAGCTGCTGATTCTGAGTCAGCCAGCAGGTGGTGACAAAGAGAAACTAACTTCACTCCTTCCTTATTTCCTCATGAGTTCCTGGAAACACATTTTGTTGTTGTTTATGTTTGAAGAAATATCTAAAGTTTATATAGCACCCCTAAGGTGATTCGATTCTTAATTGAATAAAAAAACAAAACAGATACAGATGCAAACACAGCATATATTTTATTTCAGTGAACACTTAATTTATACAAAGCCAAACCCATTCTGTCAAAGAGGGAAACAAAATCCACCATAAAAAAATCATCAAGAGAAGAAAGTACGATTGTTTATAGACAGCATCGATTCACCAAAGTGCAAATAATAAGAGGAAGTGAAGGGAACATGTACAAAAATATTCATCGATTGTTTTCTTCTTTCCGACTCACACACGTTTTTCAGTCAATAAAAAGTTTAACCCTCAAATTACTTTAAAATCAGAACATATTAATATTCAGATTGACGCCTTTGTAGAGGAAGAAGTGACCTTTAAAAACCGACGTTAACTTTCTTTAGCAGATGGAGCTCTACTGCTGCTTTTAAACCATAAACATATTTATTCATATTTCATATAAGCTGGGAAATAATCACTGTTGTCACGGCCAACTCTCAAAGGTGCCCTGTGACGTCTTTCGTGCGGTCAGTCTAAGAGTGACACAATCAAGAGCTGAAGACAAAGTACAAAAATCCCACTATACTGTGAGAGGGTTTACAGTTTCCTAAAACAATCTTCTTCTGGTGGCAAAACAAAAGGAAAGCTACAACTTTACAACTTACATATTATCCTGTTTTTTTAAACACTTTAAATAAGTCTCAGAGCTCCTCAAAACATGTGTGTGAAGTTTCTTGATCTAAATCCACTATGATCCTGTATTTGATCATGTCTATAAACCCCTCTATTTCAGCCCTGCTCAGAACAGGCTGTTTCTGTGTCTGTACCTTTAAATATGTAAATGAGCTGTGTCTGACCACGCCCCCTCTCTGGAAGGGCTTGGGTGTCTCGGTCTTTCTTGCTCCATGTCCTATTGTTTACGGTGAGAAGGCAGACTCAGAGGGCAGAACAAACACCTAGCTGTGGGAGTGTCACCCACCTGGGGGAGGGGCTACTGCCCTTTGTGATGTCATGAAGGCAGACTCAGGGCAGAACAAACACCTAGCTGTGGGAGTGTCACCCACCTGGGGGAGGGGCTACTGCCCTTTGTGATGTCATGAAGGCAGACTCAGGGCAGAACAAACACCTAGCTGTGGGAGTGTCACAGCTCCTTCACAGACCACTCTGACTTTTGGATAAGTTCCAGCAAAGATTTCCTCCTGCACAACAACTTAAACACAGACTCAAAGTAGCTGCAAACAAACCCTTCGTATGGCCTTTGCACACCGAGTCCGTTTGTTTCTGGTGTTTTTTGGATCCGTAATCTGAACAAACCCCAACAACATGAAGCACAGAGGACTAGCACTTTGAGTCCGCTGCGTTTAGTTCCATTAATTGCAAAATCCGAGACCAAACGTGTCGTACTCATCATGGAGCGAGGTGAAGCAGTGAAGATGATTCTGTGTTTTGTTTTCACTACTTGAAAAAACAACACGGGATCAGTCGCCATGACAACAAGACAAGAGCGAGGAGAGTTTCACTGTGGATAAAGGAGCTGCAGAATTATCCTGATTTTCAGGACGTCAGTGGTCCAGTCACAAATTTCTGAGACACAATCAATCCTGAACAGCAGACACACACACACACACACACACACACAGACACACACACACACACACAGACACACACACACACACACACACAGACACAGACACACACACACACACACACAACACAGACACACACACACACACAGACACAGACACACACACACACACAAACACAGACACACACACACACACAGACACAGACACAGACACAGACACACACAGACACAGACACAGACACACACAGACACACACAGACACACACACACACACACACACACAGACACACACACACGCACACGCAGACAGACGCAGACGCAGACAGACACAGACACACAGACACACAGACACAGACACAGACACAGACACACACACACACACACACACACACACACACACACACACACACACACACACACACACACACACACACACACACACACACACACACACACACACACACACACACACACACACAGACACAGACACACACACAGACACACAGACACAGACACACACACACACACAGACACAGACACACACACAGACACAGACACACAGACACAGACACAGACACACAGACACAGACACAGACACACACACACACACACACACACACACAGACACACACACACAGACACAGACACAGACACACACACAGGAAAATGTTACAGAAAAAAATAATGACGATGAAAGTTTCAGTCTTGAATGAAAAAAACGGAGTGCGATGACCTTCAGAGTTCTCTTCAGATAAATGAAACACAGTTTGGTTGAAACATACTTTGGCACAAAAGCCACTTCTTTTCACACCAGCTGCCACTTTTAAATTCATGCGAATTCACCTTTCAGCAAGAAAACAACTAAGTTTAAAAAGCACAGCAAGGCATCCTATGTGGACTTAAACATCCCACTTCCCCTTTAAGCCTAGTCTTAACCAATCAGGCCACACCTGAGTAAGTAAGAGGCCTGCAGCAGGCCATGCTTACTCCTTTTGTTTGCTTCACACTGCTGAGCTGCATGACAGGCTGACAGCTGTATTGTGACTCTGATAGATGCATTATTTGAGTGAGTACTTGATGTGTAAATATATGATTTTGTGCATTTGAGATTGTTTAGTTACTACGTAAATTGATTTACGGGTGTGGCCCTGATTATTGTTTTCCTTAAAGAGTTAAATCATCTGACTACTACGCTTGTCACAAGTGAAATCAAGTTGTTGAGAAATAAAGCATGAAGAAACTCTCCTCTGGTCCCTGCACTTTAATTGGTGTACCACTGCAGAAGCTCTATTTTTGAACTGGGTTTACATACACTTCCTACAATGCGTGTAACAAATGCATCCGGCTCTGAGTGAGTCTGAACGAGGCTTTTCAAGACATACTGGATTGATTTATTTCAGTCGATATTGAAATTATGGAACATCACTTTGTGTGCAAACCATTTGTTCCTACTTCAGCAGCAGACCGGAGGTGCAACACATAACTAACGTCTAAAGCAAAAACAAACACTTTAATTAACGGTGTCCGACCTGAGGCCCGTTTCAGAAAGGCCCGAGTAAGTTAACCCTGAAATGAAGGAAACTCTGGGTTTGACGTTTCAGAAATGAGGTAACTTTAGCTGAGTCTGTTACTATGGTAACCGAGTCTGTCAACGTAATCGGGTCTGTTCTGAAACCAGAAACTCTGTGTGTGTGTGTGTGTGTGTGTGTGTGTGTGTGCTCGTTCCTGATTGGTTTCAAGTAAAACTTCAGTAGCTCGTTATGAACACAAAAATAAAAAACAAACAATAAATATTGTTTTCCTCAGCTTTAAAATCAGGCGGCAGTTCTGACAGATTTCCAGTCAAATGACCCAAAGTCAGAAACCACACTGTGACATTTTGAGGGGCTTTCTGACCCATTTTTGACACTTTAGTGAAACAAAGACCCTGACCTTTCTTTACGGAGATAAACTTAACCCTAACTAACCCTAACCCTGGAGTGAAGAGGATTATCTCCTCTTTTCAGTCACCATGAACTTTATCTTAAATCCGCCTCTTTAACACGCTGTAACAGTTTGTTGTCCTTCCATGCGATCCCTCAACATTCAACACATTTCATGCAGTGCCTATGACAAAAACTGCAGGGTTCCTACACATCCTCCATTTTTAAAGTTAACTTTCTGTTCTTTTAAAAAAAAAAAATTACAAACTAGCCATGCATGCCTCGAGTGACATTCAGCAACTCCTATCTTTACTAAAAATAAATTAATTTCCAATGTTTTTCTTTCCTCCAGATCTGCGTAGGAATCCAGAGGAAACCATCAAAAATATCTCTACTGTCATGTAGAGAGGGCCGAGCTCACCTGATCCACAGAGCTGAGCTCCTGTGTTTCCTTTGGGAACAAGTAAGAAAAAAACCCAAAAAAAACTACTCTCTCAAAGTTTCAAATCTTTTGCTACAACCAAACCTAGCTGCCTGGGGAGGTTCAAAGGAGGCTGAGGGTGGGAGTGATCATCAAAGCGACAGTCTTTAAAAATGTCCTTTAAAAAAAAAAAAGAACCAGTCACAATAAATAAAAACACTTTGCAAAAGAATAAGATAACAGAAGATTTGGATGAGCATGAGCGGATGGGGGAGACTCGGCTGTATAATTGGTATGGATTTGAAAAGGGAGTGTGATTACACAGGTGCCGAAACTCCAGGTCCCCCCCCCCCCGACACAGTTTGACAGAGCAGTGAAGTCCCACATCCGGCACGCTTTAGAACGGGAGCTTCTTCAGCTGCTCGAAGGTGATGAAGAACTGAAGGAGTGGTGTTCAGGAAAGTCTTCAGGATTCATGTGACAACAGTAAACAGGCTGGAGCTGCTCTGAAATAAGAGAAACCCCCGCTGACCTTTTCAGGGTCAACTCTGACCTACACCACTCGGCGCGCTTGTACACTTGAGCCTCACTCAGTATCTGTGAGTGAAGTGGATTTGGTTGTTCTACTAGTCAGGTCTAACTAGTCCTGATTAATCTATGGCTGAACATCTGGTGTCTCTGAATCACAACACAACGCTCGTATAAACCCTCCATAAGATCAATAAAAACACATCTTTTCTTCTTGCTCGTTTTCAAAAGGATACGATGATGTTCCAAGGTCCCAGTCTGAGCCAGTTTGGCCAGAATCCCTTATAGAGAGCGAAGAAACCCTCGTTCTTCCACGTCTGCATCAGTCCGTCCAGCGTCCCTTTGTACATGGGGGCTCCCGACGAAACCCGCTGGTTCATCATCCGGGTCCGCACCACGTCCACGGGGTTGGACGCCAGAGCTCCCGCCAACCCGCACGTGAAACTGGAACTGGTTTAACAGACAACGGGCGAGGTGAATAGGCGAGTCATCGTAAGTCAAATGTTCATCTGTTAGATAAATCTAAAGATTTAATTTACAAATAGAGAAACTTACATAAAGTGTGTCAAAATGGTGTCTCCCATCACGCCTGAGCGGAGAAGGTGCTTCTTGGTGATGTCATAAACAGGAAGTTCCACCCCAACAACAATGGCTGCTCGCTGTGCTGTGGGTATGACACCCTGAGGACGAGGAGGAGGAAGGATGAAGGAGGAGGGAGGAAGGAGGAAGAGAAGAAGAAGGAAGAGGAAAAAGGAGGAGGAGGAAGAAGAGGATGAAGGATGAGGAAGAGGAAGGAGGAACGAGGAGGAGGAAGTAGGATGAAGAGGATGAAGGAGGAGAAGGAGGAAGGAGGAACGAGGAGGAGGAAGTAGGATGAAGAGGATGAAGGAGGAGAAGGAGGAAGGAGGAACGAGGAGGAGGAAGTAGGATGAAGAGGATGAAGGATGAAGGAGGAGGAAGTAGGATGAAGAGGATGAAGGAGGAGGAGAAGGAGGAAGAAGGATGAGGAAGAGGAGAAGGAGGAAGAAGAGGATGGAGGAAGAGGAAGGAGGAAGGAGGAACGAGGAGGAGGAAGTAGGATGAAGAGGATGAAGGATGAAGGAGGAGGAAGTAGGATGAAGAGGATGAAGGAGGAGAAGGAGGAAGAAGGATGAGGAAGAGGAGAAGGAGGAAGAAGAGGATGAAGGATGGAGGAAGAGGAAGGAGGAACGAGGAGGAGGAAGTAGGATGAAGCGGATGAAGGAAGAAGGAGGAGGATGAGGGAGGAGGGAGGAGGGAAGAAGAAGGAGGGAGGAGGGAGGAAGGAAGAGGATGAAGGAGGAGGGAGGAAGAGGAAAAAGGAGGAGGAGGAAGGAGGAGGAAGGAGGAGGACGAGGGAGGAGGAAGAGGATGAAGGATGAAGGAGTAGGGAGGAACGAGAAGGAGGAGGAGGGAGGAAGGAGGAGGAAGAGGAAGAGGAAAAAGGAGGAAGAAGGAGGAGGAAGAGGAGGAGAAGGAAGAGGAAGAAGGAGGAAGAGGAAGAAGGAGGAGGAAGAGGAGGGAGGAGGGAGGAAGAGGAAAAAGGAGGAAGATGAAAAAGGAGGAGGAGGAAAAGGAGGAGGAGGAAGGAGGAGGAAGAGGAAGGAGGAGGAAGAGGATGAAGAAGAAGGCGGAAGAGGAAGAAGGAGGAAGAAAAGGATGGAGGAGGAGGAAGAGGAACGAGGAGGAGGAAGTAGGATGAAGAGGATGAAGGAGGAAGAAGTAGGATGAAGGAGGAGGGAGGAAGAGGAAGGAGGAATGAGGAGGAAGATTAGGATGAAGGAGGAAGGAGGAAGAAGGAGGAGGAAGAAGAAGTAGGATGAAGAGGAAGAAGTAGGATGAAGGAGGAGGGAGGAGGGAGGAAGATGAAAGAGGAGGAGGAAGAAGAAGTAGGATGAAGAGGAAGAAGAAGTAGGATGAAGAGGAAGAAGTAGGATGAAGAGGAAGAAGTAGGATGAAGGAGGAAGATGAAGGAGGAGGGAGGAAGAGGAACGAGGAACGAGGAGGAAGATTAGGATGAAGGTGGAGGAAGGAGGAAGAAGAAGAAGGAGGAGGAAGAAGGAGGAAGAGGAAGAAGGAAGAGGAAGAGGAAGGAGGAGGAAGAAGGAAGAAGAGGAGGATGAAGACAAGGAGTCAGATTCTTCCATAATCACAGAACGATTCACTACATTTCAACATGTCTTCAAAACTCAGATCTCAAGTGATGAAATGAAATCTCAGCCGACCTCCGCTGCTCACTCGTTGACTTTAACTGAGGAGAATTTAAATCCAACTAGAACTCCACAAGCTGGATTTATTTTTATTGAACAGTAAACTCCCCGTTTTCTTGAACTGCAGCTCATGAGCACACTCACTCTCCACAGGCCTCTGGTTCCCTCCGTCTGGTAGATGTTGATGAAGTTGGACATCATGCTGCCTTGGAGCAGACTGCCCTGCGCCTGCATCCTGATCTGAGACGAGGAAACAAGACGTTTAATGTTTGAGGATTCACTAAAGCATCGCTCAGGTGTTGGTGAGCTGATGATGTTGATGAAGAGTCACCTTGAGGACGTCGGTGGGGTTGGCCAGAGAGGAGGACAGAACGCCAGAAACGACGCCACAGAACACGTTGATGACCATCGTCTCATCTGTCGGGAAAGAAGATAAGATATTATATTAATTAATCGAGAGATAAAGTGTTGAAGCTCAGGAGATGTTGGTGACGCCATTTTTTGAGGGTTGGAAAGATCCAAACTGGCTGTTTCCAGGCGCCCCTTGGATTAACTTTGAATTACCCTGACCTGGATGACGAGGACCCTGCACAGACGTGCTTCTGTCTCCATCTCTATTATTCATGGTATCTATCTTTTGTACAGTAAATTGGCCATTAAATATTGAGCAGAGCAGAAGTAAGAGAGGGGGGGAGAGAGGGGAGCAAAAATTGAAAAAGAATCAAGCGGGGAATTTAGGAATGGAGACAGAGAAAGCAGTCGTTAAATTCAGAAGGAAGCAGTCGACTGGGAAACAGGAAAGACAAACAGAAAAAGGAGACAGAGACGAGGAGCCTGTGGGCAACAGGACGGCGCCGGCAAATCGCTGACAAATGTAGCAGAAAGCAATTTGTTTGAGTACTGAAGTGGCTCTCTGTGTCTGTCTGCAGGGAGGAAGAAGCTAGTGTCAGAGCAACAAGAGCAGAGCAGATTCTTTAAGGAGGGGTTTGTAGGGATGGGTATCAAAAACGCATCACTGGTACAGCTGAGCGACACTTTCTGAAACCACCATGTTCACTTCCCTCACACAGAAAAAGATAGAATTGTTTATGTCGAGGTCATTTTGGACAACACATTTGTAGTGGTTCAAATGAATGCGACATGAAATCTGACAGTGTGGTTAGCTTCCCCTAACTTCAGTGCATGGTGATTGGATATTAACTCTGTGAGCAGGGGTTTCCTCATCCCAGCGTTTGGACTCGCAGGCAGGCAGGCAGGCAGGCAGGCAGAGACACACACGCACACACACACACACACACACACACACACAGCCAATTCCGAGAGAAATATAAAGCACAGAAACTTGTTGTACACAAATCTAAAAACCTCGCAATTCACAATCCATCCTACTCCCTATCCGAGGTCGGTTTACGGAGGTTAAGCTCAATAAGTCAACCCAGACGTCCCTCTCCACAGCAACGTTTTCCAGCTCCTCTTTGGGGATTCAGAGGCGCTCCCAGGCTAGATGGGATATATAATCTAGGGTTAGGGTGGGAAAAAAATCGATTTATGTAAAATCGAGATTCTTCTCTCTGAAGATTTAAAATCGATTAAAATTCCAAATCTTATTTTTTTTTGGGCTTATCGGTCACTCCCTGGTAAGTTCTAACGCTAGCTCTTTAACTCAGTAGAATGCTAAATAGAGCAACAAGGAATTCATCCAGTCTCACAGATGACTGAGTAGATCCTGAAGTACTCATTCATAAAAATAGACTTTGTATCCATGACTCCAGAATCGTTTAGAATCATGACACCAAAAATCTAAATTGAATCATGAGACACCCAAAGATTCTCAGCTCTGGGTCTGCCCCGGGGTCTCCTCCCACTTGGCCGTGTTCGGAAGCCCTCAATTCACAAGTGCGTATTAAACTGTGGATGTGGAAGCCGTAGCGATCAGTTCAATATTATACTGAGAATTGTTGCATTCAGCTGCGTTATTCCAGGAACTCATCAATATGTTGTCACTGACAGGTCGGGAGCCAGCAGAATCAAGTATCGATCCTCAACAGTCCTCCATATGAGTCCCTCTATTCTCCACTTTAATAACAACAAGGGTTTGGAAATGAACTTAAACTTAATGCTTTAAGTTAAGTCTGACATTAAAATTATTTCACTACTGATGACGGAGCAGATTGTTTTCTCTACTCAGAATCCGGTTGTTGTTCGGTGTCTCAAAATGCAAAAAGCCTTTTTAAATCAGCTTTTAAAGTTTGATTTGCTTTATAGATTTCCACGCCATGTTTTATATAAAATGTACTAATTCAAGAGCGAGAGAGGAGAAGACAAGCGCTCATCAGAGCACTTACAGCTGAAGTGTGAATAAAGGCCTGACTCACTCTCGTTCTCCCTTTCTCTCCTTACAGGAAGCTTTTTAAATTTTGTTTAGCTTTCAAATTAGTGCCAGCAGGTTAACTCCTTCACTCTGCAGCCAGGCGGGTGAACACAGGTTGTCACGACACAATCAACCTTTTTTTTTTTTGTTGGCAGGCGTGTTAGGTGAACAGCCTCAAAGGCACAAAGGGAATCGTGTGTGTGCAAAGACACATTCAGGGAAAACTTGTTTGGAGAAAGTGATGGAGTGACACTGAACTGTTTGAGCTTATCCCCAGAGTCAGATCGTTTTTCTGTGAGTTTGATATAATGCCTCCAGCCTCTTGAATTTAGAGCCGGACTTTGCATATCCATGTTTGCAGTTTAAACAGAAGCAAACTACCACAAAACACCATCACTGCATGCAAAGTGTTACAGCATAAACAAAGGAGGAGAGAGAGAGAGAGAGAGAGAGAGAGAGAGAGCACGCGAGGGCTTCAAGACGTTTGAAGCACAAACAATGTTTAGAGTCTAAACAGAAAGAGGAGGAGGAGGAGAGAGAGAGAGAGGAGGAGGAGGAGGAAGAGAGAGAGAGGAGGAGGAAGACAGAGAGAGAGAGAGAGGAGGAGGAGGAAGAGAGAGAGAGATGGAGGAAGAGAGAGAGAGAGGAGGAGGAAGAGAGAGAGAGGAGGAAGAGAGAGAGGAGGAAGAGAGAGAGGAGTAGGAAGAAGAGGAAGAGAGAGAGGAGGAGGAGGAGGAGAGAAGGAAGAGGAGAGAGGAGGAAGAGGAGGAGGAAGAAGAGGAGGAGGAGAGAAGAGGAGGAGGAGAGAAGAGGAGGAAGAGAGAAAGAGGAGGAGGAAGAGGAGAGAAGAGGAGGAAGAGAGAAAAGAAGGAGGAAGAGGAGGAAAAGGAGGAGGAGGAAGAGAGAAAAGAAGGAGGAAGAGGAGGAGGGAGGAGGAGGAGGAGGAGGAGGAAGAGAGAGGGAGCAGACGGTAGTGAAAGCATTGTTTCCCATACACATTAAGTACTCAGGTGCTGCCCAGGTTTGTTTTTGGACGCCCAGGTATCTGTGACAGAGAGAGATTGTGAGAAGACATTTTCACGTCTCTGTACGCTCATTGATTTTAGCGATGGCGTCATATTGGTGTCCCAGTCTGTGAATTCACCTAAGATGGTAACAGAGGGGGGAGCACTCCGCCCCCCCCCCCCATTATGACTCCATGACAGTCAGACTTTAAGGGGGAGATATCCCGGCTTGAAACAGCAGTCTGAATCAGACTAGAGAGAGTCTGCTGGTTTTGTCCCTCCTGTAGGAGCAGCTCCTCTTTTTAAAAGCCTAACTCCTCTGGATCGTTGGTGGAACGCCGGCCTGAACCACCAACCCCCCCCACCCCGTTTGTCCCTATCCTTCTTCCTGCATCTTATCCCATCTTCAAGCCCAACACAGTTCATCATGAGTCTGGATCTGATCAAGAGTTCTGCCTCTTAAAGGAAGTTTTTTCTTGCCTCTGTAACTTTTGCTAAGTGTTGCTAAAGTGGTCATGATGGTTTAACGCTGAGTCTTTGTAATATAACAAAGAGAGTAAGGTCTTTTACCTGCTCTTTTCAAAAGATACCACTTGTTATGAATTAGTGCTATACTAATAAAGATTGATTGGTTGATTTTAAGCTCCTTGCTCTATTGCTGCACTCTTAGTTTAGGATGATGAAGTTGTTTATGACCCACTCAATAAGTTAGAGAAAAAAAACAGAGTTAATACATACACACATAGTATCATTATATAATCTAACCTAATTCAAATAGGGTAAAAACTATTCTATATCACTATCATTTTTTTTATTAGGCTAAAGAATACTAAAAGTTTTGATATTGCTCCAGTGGATTTCTTTAGCCAGTAGCAGCCAAAGCATCTGCAAACTAGACCTGATCAGAGAAAGTCCAGTCGAAGTTCTTGTTGTTTTTTCTGACACTGAGAGGTTCAGATTGTTGTTTGAAGTGTCTGAAGACATTATGAAAACAAGGACAGACTTTCCTCTCAAAGCGTTAAGATCAGTCGTTCAAGGAGACGCCTCACTCAGAAATCTCGAGTGCTGCAGTTAGCAAGAGAGACAGAGAGAGGAGTTTGATGTCGGACAATGAGGGTAACAATCAGAGCCTGTCACACCAGAGCACTTATGTACTTTAAGTTTTTGAATTATTTACACCACAAAATGTGCTAAAAGAAAGAGGACCCAGGTTTAAAAACACAAGAATAAACAATGAAGCTGCTTTTGTAAATTCTTTCACAAAAGCAGTTTAAGGGTTTTTTGTTTTCTCTGAGTTGGCTGTGAGGACTTTTTCTCGTCATGTTGCAGGAGGGATCACTCATGATGGTTTTAAAGTAGTTTGCGATTCATTGCATCAGCCTTACACGAGACACTTTAAATGTCATTCTAAATTTATTATGCGTGTGGGTCGCTGATAATATCATTAAAATCACCTCCAATTAACAGCTGTTTTTATCCAGACTAAAATCTGATAGTTGAAAAAACACTTTCAATGTTTCAGTGACAGAAAGAATCGGATGTGTGAACTTAAAGGCCAGTTTCCGTCTCTGCAGGCTGTAAGCTTTGAGCCTTTAAGATGAAAAGAGCGTGTTAGAGAGGTTAGAAGGACAGTAGGAGGAACAGGCTGTAAACACTCGCCTTCTGGATGAGTGACAAACAGCCTCTTCAGAGAGTTGTAGGTTCCGATCTTGATTGTCCCGTATGAGGCTTGTCTGAGCAGAGCAGGAGAGATCCTGAAAGGGAGAAATCAAATCTGTTTTAATAACACACACACACACACCACACACACACACACACACCACACACAACCACACACACACACACACACACACACACACACCACACACACACACACACACACACACACACACACACACACACGAAGACACACACACACACACACACCACACACACACACACACAACAACCACACACACACACACACACACACACACACACACACACACACACACACACACACACACACACCACACACCGGAGTAGAGCGCCCGGCAGCCCTCCTCTTTGCCGATCCTGAAGAGGGCGTGAAACATTCCTCTGTAGCGGACCTCGGTGTACTGGGACTGACCCTGAACCTGGAGCCTGGTCTTAGTCAGGTCAACAGGAAATGTCCCTGAGGATTAAAAATACAGAAGAAGAAAACACAAAGGAAGAAAGATATCAATAAAGACTTAGATGGTGAGTTCACAGAGGGTCATCTGATCGTTGTTGGAAGTTTTAGTTGTACCATAAATCTTCAGAGAGTCTTCATACACTTAGAGATTCTAAATGTCACGTTGATTTTAGCACTTCTACATTTTTCACCCGTTTCCTGAACTGCAACTCTCGTTAGAGGAAAATAACCCAAACAACAAGAGAAGGGAACATTAGTAATACATATTAAGACTGGAAAATGTCGATCAGAAAAGACTTGATACATATTCAATTAATGCAGCAGAAGACTTTCTACATTTTCTTTTGCTTGGGAAATCAGATGCCTGTGCTTAGGGTTACACAATAACTCGCTGACATGGTGTTTGATGGAGGTCAGGTATAACGGCCACGCTTTAACAACATGTTGAAGTAGTCAGGTGAAACGGTACAACGTTTCTAATATCATGCAAGCCAAATTACATTAAATAAAAAGCAGGTTTGTTTTTCTCTATTTTCTCACATCACAATATCACTGATAGAAAAGATATCACAGCATCAGTTGTTTCTAATATCGTGAGACACTATCTCTAATTTAATGACTGAGGAAGAAGATCCGTTCAGATCCCCTGAAGACGTCTGGTTGAAAATAAAAACATTTTACAAAGTGTGGGCACATCTTCTTCTTCAGTCAGCTGTGTTGTGGTGTTTCTTTATAACTGCACCTCGCTCTTAATGCACGCTTTAAACATTTTATAAAATGAATACTGCAGTCAGCTAAATGGACTCCTGTGTTTTCAGGGTAACAATGTGCAGCAATGAGCTGTGCTATGTTTCCAGCTTCATCCATCCTGAAGTGCTATTGTCACTTAGCATGCACTGAAACACAGTGCTTCATCCCGTCCACCAAGAAACATGTTTATCTGTGGTTATTACAGACAGTAAACCCAACAGTCTCCAGCAGGCTGTGCATGTTGTGGTGCATGTTGTGGTGCATGTTGTGGTGCATGTTGTGGTGCATGTTGTGGTGCATGTTGTGGTGCATGTTGTGGTGCATTGTTTGGTGCATGTTTTGGTGCATCACGTAGCTTACCGAATTCTGCGACAATCGAGGCCATGCCGCCGTAGATGAACGGTTTCCAGTTCAGGTTGTCCATGTCGGCGGCTGCTGCTTCCACCTGCTGCAGCCCCGCTAGAAGCAGCAGAAGAAGGGCCACACAGAGGTCAGTACAGAGCTGCAACATGTCGATAAACACTGAGATGTGATGATCTACAGATCAGGGAGCCTCCTCAGCATCAGCATCTCAACGGACTGCGCCGGAAACAGAAGCCTGCAGTGTCCGACACCTCACACAGCCCTCATATCTCTACACGGGCTGCTATTGGCTGCGATATCTGTCAATCAATATTCCGAGCAATGCGATTAACACTGAGATGTGATGATCTACAGATCAGGGAGCCTCCTCAGCATCAGCATCTCAACGGACTGCGCCGGAAACAGAAGCCTGCAGTGTCCGACACCTCACACAGCCCTCATATCTCTACACGGGCTGCTATTGGCTGCGATATCTGTCAATCAATATTCCGAGCAATGCGATTGGCTGATGAACGGGGGGCGGGGACAACATAAGTGACAGCTAGGTGACAGCAACAGTGTCAAGAGAATAAAGTTATTTTACACCGTAAACGCTATTTTAACGCAATAGATAATATTCACGAACAACTAAATAAAATAAACACCTTCATTTATAAATTCAAGAACTAAAAATGTTGTTTTTCTTTCGTCTTTATTTCAGAAAAGTCCAAACTGTGGACGTTAGCAGAGGCTAACGGCTGGTCGGCTAAGCTAGTTAGCAGTTAGCAACAAGTTACCGTTAGCTTCTACCTGAACATCACGTACCTGTGGAGTCACGAAAGTCCGCGACTTGTTATTTAACTTGGTTTCCCATGACAACACCTTGACTTTAAGACCAAAACAAACACAACACTTCCTGCTGTTTGTCATGAACGAGCTTCTTCTTCGTGTCCTTCAATTAACGTCGGTTTTTCCACTTAGCGTCACACTTCCACCCTCCGGGGACTCAGCGGCTTCTTCTTCTTCTTCTCTCTGTTATTTGGTGGATCGCAAACAGCTTAAAGGTGCATACCGCCACCTAGAGTTCAAGGGTCGTTACGTCATGTTATTTACTGCAGGCTACCTTTACTTTACCTGACGTCATTAAAGAAGGACAGAAACCCTCCTGACAGACCCCCCCTCCCAGCAGGGGGTCTGATCCCCCCCCTCTCTGTACCCACATTACCCCTCCCTCTCTGTACCCACATTACCCCTCCCAGCAGGGGGTCTGATCCCCTCCCTCTCTGTACCCACATTACCCCTCCCAGCAGGGGGTCTGATCCCCTCCCTCTCTGTACCCACATTACCCCTCCCAGCAGGGGGTCTGATCCCCCCCCTCTCTGTACCTACATTACCCCTCCCAGCAGGGGGTCTGATCCTGATCCCCCCTCTCTGTACCCACATTACCCCTCCCAGCAGGGGTCTGGATCCCCCCCTCTCTGTACCCACATTACCCCTCCCAGCAGGGGTCTGATCCCCCCCTCTCTGTACCCACATTACCCCTCCCAGCAGGGGGTCTGATCCCCCCTCTCTGTACCCACATTACCCCTCCCAGCAGGGGGTCTGATCCCCCTCTCTGTACCCACATTACCCCTCCCAGCAGGGGTCTGATCCCCCCCTCTCTGCTTACCCACATTACCCCTCCCAGCAGGGGGTCTGATCCCCCCCTCTCTGTACCCACATTACCCCTCCCAGCAGGGGTCTGATTCCCCCCCTCTCTGTACCCACATTACCCCTCCCAGCAGGGGGTCTGATCCCCCCTCTCTTGTACCCACATACCCCCCAGCAGGGGTCTGATCCCCCCCCTCTCTGTACCCACATTACCCCTCCCAGCAGGGGTCTGATCCCCCCCTCTCTGTACCCACATTACCCCTCCCAGCAGGGGGTCTGATCCCCCCTCTCTTACCCACATTACCCCTCCCAGCAGGGGTCTGATCCCCCCCCTCTCTGTACCCACATTACCCCTCCCAGCAGGGGTCTGATCCCCCTCTCTGTACCCACATTACCCCTCCCAGCAGGGGGTCTGATCCCCCCCCTCTCTGTACCCACATTACCCCTCCCAGCAGGGTCTGATCCCCCCTCTCTGTACCCACATTACCCCTCCCAGCAGGGGTCTGATCCCCCCTCTCTGTACCCACATACCCACATTACCCCTCCCAGCAGGGGTCTGATCCCCCCCTCTCTGTACCCACATTACCCCTCCCAGCAGGGTCTGATCCCCCCTCTCTGTACCCACATTACCCACATTACCCCTCCCAGCAGGGGGTTTGATCCCCCCTCTCTGTACCCACATTACCCCTCCCAGCAGGGGGTCTGATCCCCCCCCTCTCTGTACCCACATTACCCCTCCCAGCAGGGGTCTGATCCCCCCTCTCTGTACCCACATTACCCCTCCCAGCAGGGGGTCTGATCCCCCCCTCTCTGTACCCACATTACCCCTCCCAGCAGGGGTCTGATCCCCCCTCTCTGTACCCACATTACCCCTCCCAGCAGGGGGTCTGATCCCCCCTCTCTGTACCCACATTACCCCTCCCAGCAGGGGGTCTGATCCCCCCCCTCTCTGTACCCACATTACCCCTCCCAGCAGGGGGTCTGATCCCCCCTCTCTGTACCCACATTACCCCTCCCTCTCTGTACCCACATTACCCCTCCCAGCAGGGGGTCTGATCCCCCCTCTCTGTACCCACATTACCCCTCCCAGCAGGGGTCTGATCCCCCCTCTCTGTACCCACATTACCCCTCCCAGCAGGGGTCTGATCCCCCCTCTCTGTACCCACATTACCCCTCCCAGCAGGGGTCTGATCCCCCCCTCTCTGTACCCACATTACCCCTCCCAGCAGGGGTCTGATCCCCCCCTCTCTGTACCCACATTACCCCTCCCAGCAGGGGTCTGATCCCCCCTCTCTGTACCCACATTACCCCTCCCAGCAGGGGGTCTGATCCCCCCTCTCTGTACCCACATTACCCCTCCCAGCAGGGGGTCTGATCCCCCCCTCTCTGTACCCACATTACCCCTCCCAGCAGGGGTCTGATCCCCCCTCTCTGTACCCACATTACCCCTCCCAGCAGGGTCTGATCCCCCCTCTCTGTACCCACATTACCCCTCCCAGCAGGGGTCTGATCCCCCCCCTCTCTGTACCCACATTACCCCTCCCAGCAGGGGTCTGTTCCCCCCCCTCTCTGTACCCACATTACCCCTCCCAGCAGGGGTCTGATCCCCCCTCTCTGTACCCACATTACCCCTCCCAGCAGGGGGTCTGATCCCCTCCCTCTCTGTACCCACATTACCCCTCCCAGCAGGGGGTCTGATCCCCTCCCTCTGTGTACCCACATTACCCCTCCCAGCAGGGGTCTGATCCCCCCCCTCTCTGTACCCACATTACCCCTCCCAGCAGGGGTCTGATCCCCCCTCTCTGTACCCACATTACCCCTCCCAGCAGGGGGTCTGATCCCCCCCCTCTCTGTACCCACATTACCCCTCCCAGCAGGGGGTCTGATCCCCCCTCTCTGTACCCACATTACCCCTCCCAGCAGGGGGTCTGATCCCCCCCCTCTCTGTACCCACATTACCCCTCCCAGCAGGGGGTCTGATCCCCCCCTCTCTGTACCCACATTACCCCTCCCAGCAGGGGGTCTGATCCCCCCCTCTCTGTACCCACATTACCCCTCCCAGCAGGGGGTCTGATCCCCCCCTCTCTGTGCCCACATTACCCCTCCCAGCAGGGGGTCTGATCCCCCCCCTCTCTGTACCCACATTACCCCTCCCAGCAGGGTCTGATCCCCCCTCTCTGTACCCACATTACCCCTCCCAGCAGGGGTCTGATCCCCTCCCTCTCTGTACCCACATTACCCCTCCCAGCAGGGTCTGATCCCCCCTCTCTGTACCCACATTACCCCTCCCAGCAGGGGGTCTGATCCCCCCCCTCTCTGTACCCACATTACCCCTCCCAGCAGGGGGTCTGATCCCCCCTCTCTGTACCCACATTACCCCTCCCAGCAGGGGGTCTGCTACCAGCGTGTATAAAGTTGTGAACATCTTATTCTGGACCCAGAAGTTTTAACTTTAGTAACGTAAACATATGTTCCAGGCCAATAAAGCCTCTTTTTTAATTTAAATGTAATAGATAGATCGAATAAAAACACAAGACATTGACTTTTATATTCTGTTTTTATTGTGTTGCATACGGAGTGGGTCGTTCCACATTTTATTTAAATATTTAAATAACTTTCTGTGGTTACTGAAGAGTATCAGACACACCCGCTGAGTCTCCTTACAAACTGATAAAGCCTGACTGCAGTGACAGGGAAAATAAACCATATCACCTAATCAGCTCTGATCACTTCTGTTTGACAGCAACAAGAAAATAATTTATTCAAGCAAACATCTTTAAAAACAGAAAAAGATCCTCGTGGTGAGGTAAACTGAAGCTGCACGTTCAATCAGTTCATTAAAAAGTGCAAAAAAAATAGAGTTTAAAGTTACTGCAGCTTTGGGATCATCTAACCATGCTCCAAAGTTCATCATCATCATCACATCACCATTTTCACTGCTTCATTTTGTATTTAAAAAAACAACAGATTATTTAATGTGACCCCTTACACAGCACACACTCACGGTGTTAATCCATGGCAGTATAAAAATAAACATTTCATTAAAAAAACTCATCTACTCTATCTGGTCACTGGTTTAACTGGTTTAACTGTTTTTAAATCCACTTTGCTTTTTCTTGTCACATGTCTTTAATGTCATCATTCTTATTCTTTCATTCTTAACGTCGCACCACACCCCGAGAGGAACAAAATAAAATCTCCCTGTGTGCTTTGTAATGGTTGAAAAAGACAATAAAGGGAACTTGACTTGATCTAAAATGTAGTTAGTTAGTGAACCATCAGGGCGCCTTTGTTTGCAGCTTGAAGTGGAAACTGTAAAGACATCTTTAGCTCAAACTGATTTTTCTGTGAAAGGAGCAAAAACTCCTGGAACTCGCAAACTTCACCATTTTAAGAGAGCCACTGAATCCTGGTTAGTTCAGAAACAGACTTGTTCTTATGTTTAATTTTCTGTAGCTACTGTATCTCACAGCTCTTTTCATTTTTAACTTAAAGGCAGGGTTGGTCATTTTCAAAAAACTAGCATGATTTTGAAAGATTCTGCTCCGTGCAGACGGAGGACCTGTCAAGAAGACAATTTCAACCAAAATCTAAAAAAATATATATCTGGAGGAAATTACCAACCCTGCCTTTAAATGTTTTAATCTTTTATTTACACTTAATCCCGTCTTGGGACAGGTGTAGCATATTAATGTATTGGATGGCTGTTTTCAGTTTTTCTATTCTGTATCCGTAACAAATGAACCATAAAAAAATAATCAGGTAAACATTTGTTTGAGTCAAAGAGTGGGGTTGCACCATTCCTCTTTCTTCTTTTTATTTGGTGATGGTCTACTGGAGGACATGCTTGATGAACACCGTGGAGGCCTCACTGGCAGCCGGGCAGCTCCAGAGTTGTGATGAGTTGAAACACAGGAAGCTCCTCGGATCAGAGAGCGGAGCGAAGCATTCGAATGACACGCTGGTAAAGCTGCTGGAAGACTGAGCCCAGATTCCTTACAAAAAGAGACGAAGAAGAAACACACAGAAGTTAACAGAGAGGGAGGATTAAAGAAAGCATTAAGGCTACATTTAATCTCAAAACTGAAAAGAGCTTTATGGAAGGAAGCAGTAAGTGATAAAAGGACTCCAAGCCTATCGTTGTTTTTCTGTGTGCTGCATCGTTTACAGTCTGAGACGATGTGGAGGAATGACGTCTGACAGCGGATTGTTAGCTGCACCTGCTTTCACATGTCTGATTAAAAGTAAGGCACAGGGAGAAGAAGTTTATCATACACTGTAATATAACGTTTGTTCAGTCATCACTGGAGTAATTCAGAGGGTTGTACAGAGTTAAAAAAGAAACCATTAAGAGCATCAAAAGAGAT